TTGTAGTTACCTCCAGGCCTGAACTAAATCAAGTCCACTTGGTTGTTTGAAGGTATTCTGATACTGGTGTGATATGGTGAAAACTGTTTCATACCTCGGAAAGCCCTCCAGCATCCCTCTAGTCCCTGTTTTCGTGGCAACATCATGTGACTTTGAATGCCGCAGTATAACCTGATGCTTGATCAGATCTGAGAAAACAGCTTTGGAGTGATCTATAGATGTCCTGAATACAGTTGATAATTCATTTGATTTTCCTGACCAACATGTTTCACCTATCAACTTAATTCTCTTCAGTTTGTCTGCTCTTAACTTGCTCTAAATTTCCTTTTTTCAGGCTCCTCAGTGGCACAGTGGTATGTCTGCGGACTTATACTGATGGAAACCGGGTTTCGATACTCGTGATGGGCAGAGCACAGATAGCCCTTTGTGTAGCTTTGTGCTTAACTCCAAACAAACCAAATATACTTTTTACTAGATGTAACAGTCCTTGTCCACTACCACTGTGGCCATGGGAGAGAACAAGAGCAAGCAGCCTTTCCATTACTTTCCCACCAAGCACATACTGGACTACCACAGTACATTATTCCACCAAGCACATATTAGACTACCACAGTACATTATCCCACCAAGCACATATTGGACTACCACAGTACATTATCCCACCAATCACATATTGGACTATCACAGCACATTAGTCAGTTGTCGTAATATTTTGCGTGGAATGCATATCGTGACTTGACGGTTTAGCAAATATATTCACACCATTAGAGATTTTACTTCATGAAAGTCGTCTGCTCGTATATGTTACTGCAGTGTGGGTTTTCTGTTTGTGTTGCTGTAAGATCATCATGATCTTTGCATGAATGAACAGATCGCGTAGTTTCAAGAATTATTGCATGGTCAGTTGTTTGTGTAACCTGCTGATTATTTGAAATGTTCTATGTGGGAAGTGATTTCGTAGTCTCTCTACCAAATAAATGAATAGATATGATAAGCGTCCTTGTATCTTGTAAAAGTCAAATTTGTGAAATTATTATACAGGAATGATTTACACATCATTCTTATAACAGTAATCCGGCTTATTGTATTTAGCAAATTTCGTTGAAAGTTACTAACATACTGCCGATGTTAGGCGAAATTTGCCGTCGTCACGTACGTGCAGTACGCCATGACAGTATTGTTACGTCTCTGGTCGTTAGTTAACTTTCCGTAAAAAGTCTTTCCGAATAAAACTTTAGCGATACAAGTTCTTTCTTAAATAAAACTAGTTTATTCTTTCTCAATACAACTTTGCAATACCCTTAATTTCCACAGTCATGCTATAACTTAAACAGACGCTATATTTCACAACGAACGAACGATTCACGCGCTTGGCTCAATTGTCGTCTGTATCTCTGTCTGCAATTGAATTCCCCGATTGTTGCCGTCACTTCTTGGCGGTCTTATATACAAGAATACCGCATATCTAGTAAACACTCGAGGCTTCACGAAGGGACATGAATTTTCTAGAAGCTCATGACGTGTTACTAGCGTCACGTGACTTCCGCTGTCGTAACAGTATCATTATCAGCTAGTCTGGTTATCAACTCCTCATGCCACTTGGCATAAGGGTAGAAATGTTTTAGAACTACTGACCAAATGTGTTCTTGGCACAGAAACGATTTATTTTTTGTATAAAAGTCTAAACACATTTATCATGTTATGATTTTAATTGTTGAAAATATATATTATTGTACATAATATATAAACACATACGAAATATTGATATTGAAAAAAATAAAATATAGATTATACAGCCATAAGACTCTGTTTTGTAGTTATTGTTTTTCTGGCGAAATGGTTTGGAAATTTCGAATATTATGGCCAATCAACTTCAGACCCTGTAATAAGCACTCAACATGTTATAGAGGGTTTGGTGTGCCTGGAAATTTTGCTGTCAAAATTCGGAATCAGTATTGTGTGAAATTTGTAGGTCTTTACGTTGTATAATGACATAATAATGTACTTTTATAAACTCAAATTACAAATATTATATTAGGATTTGAACATTCTACTGGTCAACCTGCATGCAAAATTATTATTTAAACGCAAAGTATTGATAATCTAATAATCTTGAAACTGAAATACAAAACTAGAGATAGGCTGTTAAGTTCTATTATTGACAGTTGTAGCAATTGTAGCTGACAATTTAATACTTTCGTGGGAAAAAGTGTTCCTGTGTTGGGTAGGCCTATAACAAATATGTACTATATAAAAGAGACCGCAAGACGTGAGAAAATTGTTTCAAGAGATATTATAAAAAGTTAAAAACACGTCTATAATAAAATTTATTACAGATGTATGTTTTATTTTTCTTACAATATCTCTAAATATGAATATCAACAAAACTAAACTATCGTTATTACTTCATTTATACAAAATGATAATATCATCAAATTGATATTCATATAAGAAAACTAAACATTAGAATAGTCACAGATACACTTTCCGATGATTGCTCATTATTATTCAACTGGGCTCTTTGAACGACAAATGCTGATTGGATATTTCTAGTGGCCTTTGTAGGCCCCTGCAACTTTCTCATTTTAGTACATTTGCTCTTTTAGTATCCATTGTCCTGTCTCCTCTTTTCTGACATTATTTACTATGAAATCTACGTAGTATTGTCAGCTTTAAACAATAGGCCTAGGATTTGCTCAGACAATGTAGTCATTTCATGATTTTCTATGATTTTTATACTAAATATAAAGCTTTGAGGTAACAGTCGGGAGAGAAGTATGGTTCTGTAACTTGTATGTACGCCTATGCAGCACGCAGTCGTGTTTATTCATGCATATACAGATCTACACAAGTATCTAGGCTTATACGTTGAAAGTTACTGGGAATTCCCGACTATTGCATAAGTAAAATTCTAAAAATACACTAGTGGTTTACAGAATGTGATGCATTTAACAGTTTAAAACACTTCCATCAAGAAGCTATGAATGTGTTTTATATTTACCTGTGCAAGGCCTGTAAGAAGGAGGTATAAATATTGGCTATATATTATTATATTTAACAGTTTAAAACACTTCCATCAAGAGGCTATGAATGTGTTTTATATTTACCTGTGGCAAGGCCTGTAAGAAGGAAGTATAAATATTGGCTATATATTATTATTATATTTAACAGTTTAAAACACTTCCACCAAGAAGCTATGAATGTGTTTTATATTTACCTGTGGCAAGGCCTGAAAGAAGGGGTATAAATATTGGCTGTATATTATAGGTCTAAATATATTCAGTGTTTATTGTAGTGTTTTACATCAATATGACCATTCGAAATAGATAAATAACATTGGTTTGAAATGTCATCATGTAGTAAACTATAAAATTTAAGAGGGCATCCTTGCCTGGGTTCTAGATAGGCCCACTGGGATTTTGACCCGTTCCCGGCTGTCCAGTCTGCTACTGGTTGTGCAGTCTGATAAGGTTTCATACAGAAGCAATGTTTTTTATATAATTTACATGCCCTTAATGGCACAGCGGTATGTCTTACAACGCTAAAAACCGAGTTTCGATACCCGTGGAGGGCAAAGCACAGATAGCCCATTGTGTAGCTTTGTGCTTAACTTCAATTAAACAAACAAAATCATTTACATAAATAAGAATCTACATAATGACTTTGATGCTGAAATTTACAAGCTAACGTTTATTTCAGTTCTCATAAATCTTAGCCAGTTGAATCTTTAAAAATACATCTTTAAAGAAAGATATGGCGAGACTGCATATAAAGACTACGAAAATATACGTTTTGTGGTAACTTTAAATATTACATAGTGAATACATCATTCACTTCGTCGAATGACCCTTCAAACTACTTTTTTATATATATCAGCAAATGGTCTTACATTACAAAAAAACATATTTTCAAATCTTCAAACATACCAACAGGCAATGCTGTTTATAAATATGGTGTTATAATAGGTATTGTATAACAGCACAACAGTATGTTTGTAGAATGTGATGACACATTTAAAATAAACGTTTAGTTTAATCTTACACAAGCTGCTGCTTAATCCTGACGATATTGTAAAAAATCACATTTTGTAGCAGAAACTTATGAAGAATTTAGGGTTAAATGAATGAAAATTTTCGAGCTCTGAAGTTTCATCAGCTATATTTACATTTTTTAAGAGTCGCGGAAAATTGGTAAAGATGTGTATATGAAAAAAATCAACAGGACAATCACAGTAATACACTTATAAGCAGTTTATTGAATTTTACAAACTTCGCAACATTTGTACACTTCTGTTCCCATGTTTTCCAGTAATCAAAAATACTTGCTAATGGGAGGTAAATTCACACAACATGATAATTGCTAATAGGAAGGAACTTCACACCAATTACTTATAACAGGTAACTTCACACCACAAGGTGTTGTTTTATAGTGTTGTAGAAGTACAATTTCCATACTCAAGACAGCTAGACAAGAAATACTCTAGTAAACAGGTTTACTTGAAAACAACATAACCATGCCTAACTATTCATGTTTAACTGGCAATGCTAATCTAGCTTTTTTTCATCATAACTCAGCTTTGAAAAAAAACCATATCACAAAAATTGATTGTATACTAAAGAATACACTTTACAACCTTTAATAAAACACGTATCTAAATGTTTAATGATAATGTGTTATAAACATTTTATTACAGTGCAAACACATTAGATGCACCGGAATTAGCGTTCAACATTAGATGTTTTGTTTTTCAATCACGATATATTATAAAGTTTAGAATAAAGTTTTTATATACATTTTGTTACTGACAATCATACTGTTACTGATTTTTACAACTATAACACCGTCCCAAAAATTATTACTGCACTATTATCAGAAAATACCTACATAAAATGGACGTTGGAATTTATTTATATAATAAACGTGTGTGGTTACTGAACTGATTTATTTATATAATAAACGTGTGTGGTTACTGAACTGATTTATTTATATAATAAACGTGTGTGGTTACTGAACTGATTTATTTATATAATAAACGTGTTCGGTTACTGGACTAATTAATTTTATAATGAACGTGTTCGGTTACTTAACTGCAGCTGTCGTCATATTAAGTTACAAAAATAATTTACATGGTGCTTTGGACAACGAAAAAGAAACAGCTTGAAACAGTTGTCCTGTAAAAGTTGTGGAGATAACATGCTTCTAAATAGTTGAAGTTGACATACAAATATTATGAATAATTTAATTAAACCAAGATATATTTACATACTGTTTATTCAAGTGTTTATATTACAAATTATTGACAATATCTTCACGTTATATCATTAACAAATATAATAACCAAATAGAAACACTCATCTTTACATATATGCGATGAGTTTAATCCAAAGAAGTCATGCATCAACATTCGTCCTGGTCTTCAGTGGAGTTTTATCATTTGTCAATTGACGTTACAGTGAATTTTAGGAAGAAATCTTTATTGATTTAGTAATTGGTGTCGTAACTTATTCCACGAGTAAATATTTTTGTCCCAACGAGTTGTACCATAAATCATAGAAAATCATGTCACTTATATTTCATTAAATTATAGGAGTTTAAAATATTTCGAAAAGCGCTGAAAAAAACAAACAAACTTACCACCATTTTGAAATATAGAATATATCTCAAATATCCATAGTTTTATAACATTTCTGAAACGACGTGAGACTCGGTTGTGGAGTGACAAGATTGTCAGGTTCGACGTCATCAGTAGTTATGGCTTGTATGTCTTTACTAGTGGCAGCGTCCAAATGTTGGTATTGGTATTCAGAGCTAAGATTCAGTTTTTCCTCACGAAGCTCGATACTCCAGAATGGAAGGCGTGGTCTACTCCGTCGATAGGACCAATATCGGTAACATGTAGCAGTGCCTGCAACCAATAAAATTACTCCCAGAGTGACAATCACGGCGATCAACGGTATGGTTCCATCTGCAATTGTGGGGGCTAAAAAATGACAAAGTTAATGAATGGTTCTTAAAAAAAACTATATTCTTAAACACTTCGTGTGAAAATGCTGAAAAATATATATATTTTTTTTTAAATTGCAACTTTGTATAAACGAGAGATACGTTTTTTAATGAAACAAAGTTGATATATTTTTGTTCAAGGGACTGTATGATGACGAGTGATTTTTGAAAAATTAGTTTAATAAGAATACAGGGAGGATAACTTAGTAAAAACAAGCCTTTCTCTGTGTACTCTGGGAGGTAAAAGTATGTCGTTATTGTTGTTTAGCACAAAGAGCTATCTGTGCTCTGCCCACCACGGGTATCGAAGCCCGGTTTCTAGCGGTATAAGTCCGCAAACATACCGCTGTGCTACTGGGGGGCTAAAAATATGTTACGGACTAAGAGAAGTTTATGATTGCGTGAGGTTGTAGAAGTAGAAATTATTATAACTTCGTTTGATTCGGGCTGAATCGTCATACCATGAAGATCTAATCGCGTAAATCAATGTATAAACTTAGCATTCGCAAGTAAGAAACACAGCCTTCTCTAGTGTGTTGAAAAACATGGACATACCTATATCATGGCCTATTAACATGTTTTTGTGCTTGTATCTTTAAGAATTCACTTAAGTCATTATTTTTGAAATACTATTTTTTATAAGTTTTGATTACAATACCTCTTTTTTACTTACAAATTTCGATTATTTTTATACTCTCTTTACACACTTTCTGAATTAATGCTTCTTGTTTCATTTAATGTTTTTTTATCACCTCTCTGTGTTTACAGAACAAAACTTTTGTTGCTTCATAACATTATGTGATCTTTATATTTTAGTTTTTGGTAAGAATTCGTTTATTATTTTTAATTCTTACATAAATACATAAATCACAAATTATAGAAACACTTAAGTAAAAGTACAACGGTTATAACGTGCAGTTTCCAAGTACAACGGTTATAACGTGCAGTTTTCCAGGCACAACGGTCATAACGTGCAGATTACCAAGTACAACGGTCGAAACGTGCAGTTGCTAAGTACAACGGTTATAACGCGCAGTTTCCAAGTGCAACGGTTATAACGTGCAATTTTCCAGGCACAACGGTCATAACGTGCAAATTACCAAGTACAACGGTCATAACGTGCAGTTTTCAAAGCACAACGTGTATTTAATTAGCAAGTTGAGATATTCTTGTTAATGAATCAGATAATAGGAGCAGTAGTCATGCCCTTGCGTTTCATACCTCTTGCTAGTCAAGTGAGGTAACTCCTGCAAGATACAAGCTTGGGTATGCTAGAAGGGTGAAGCTAATTGGCTTAATTAGGTTCATGCCAGGCCTAGAGAGTTCAGATTTTTAAGTATAATTTGTATCTTCAGATTGTGTATAGTTTCATTTTGTGTATGATTTAAATCTATCTTTGTGTTTCTATTACCCGTAAGTATTCAGCAGAGATCTTTCAATTTATGCTCAATTTTCATCCCTTTTAATGTTCAATTAAAGAATATTTAAACTTAACTTAAGGATATATTATTCATTTAGTGTCTTCTTTGTTTCAGTTTAAATTACAAGGGGGGTAGTACATGTACCGACAATAGCCTTATTTTTATTATAGTCTTCACAAGCTCTTGTTAGTTCGACATCTATATACAGAGATCACTTGCCTAAATGTTCATTGTATGGTTTGTATTGCATTACTTATAGCGTATTGCTTATGTGTAATTAGACATTTCTTATTCGTGTGAATTTGTGCCCTATCTCTTTTTTTGTGACTTAACTGTTGCAACTTGAAGTGAAATACATCTCAAAGTCTGAGATCTGAGAACCTCCTGTTGTTAACGGGCCTAACTGCTTTGCTGGTAATCCGTGAAATACAACACACGTCAGCAAGTAAATCCAACAGACTGTGAAAACAGAATTAAGATAAATTGACAATGTTGTATTTTTTCTTCCTCTTAAAAGCAGAATACAATGGTATTCTAAGTCACTTATCCCTCTATCTGCAGGAATCAAAAGAAAATTTCGGCGCGAAAGAATTTGGAGATTATAAGCGAAAGTAAGTTTAGATGAATCGCAAGTTCAGCGTATCAGAAGTAAGTGTAAATTGTAATATCTATAAGATATTATAGATTATTCGTAGCATTACGTAGCAGGTTTACTACTAACTTCACAGGGTTGAATTTTACTTCCATTATAAACAATTTCAGAACTTGCATAATAATTTATGCAGATATACGCGTAACATTATGTCAGTTGCT